TGAAATGCTATTTTTAGTTTTGCTGTTACTTGGAATAACAAAAAAGAAAAATAAAAGACATGATTTTTTAACGTTTTTATCTGAACCTGTAACGAAAATTTAAAAAATTCGTTTTATAGATCTCGATAACTTGTATGCATGCTGAGAGTAGCGTCGAAACCGGTTACTTGTTTTTAATTGTCTTTAATTGTTTGTAACTATTAGACTAGTAGATCAGTCCCTGTATCGTCTAAAAAAAATTCAAGTCATTTAATCCAGTTTCAAAGAAGTTAACATATATCGTTTTGTAGGGTGTCCAGATATATATTTATCCCCGACTGTAGAATTTGACTATGACGTGAGGTGACTAATAATTGATAAATTCTGCTTGAAATTGTCATAACCAAACCGGGCTTGCCGTTGCATCATCCGGATTTGTACATTATGCGACGAGTTTTTCAACTACATTATGGCAGAAATTGCGTTTGTCGTGAAAAATTACGATTATTTGTTAATTTCCTTTATCACCGACGAATTCTTTTACCGTATTTTAACGAACGTCCAGCTGTTGCGATATTACGTTAAGTTTCTGGATTGAAGAAGAACAAAAATTGTTATGATAAGCATTGATGATAAAAATGAGCAAGTAAAATTTGAAAGAGTGTAGAAATTCGGGGAATATTCGAAATATCTTTGTATTATTTTCAACATACTAAAATTGTTAAGAGAAGGAAATTTCTACCTGGCTACTGTCTACCTGCAATTCGGAACGAAAAATTCTATTCTAAATCTTCTATTACTAGTGGTTCCGTTGCAATGAAGAAATAGTGCGCGAATAGCAATTTAAGATTAATAGAAGGAATCGTGTGCGTGATTACATTCGTAGATATTTATGTATTTTACCTAAAAGCAACCGCGAAATTTCCATAAAGCCGCACGTATTTTTAAGTAAATCAAGATCAACAACATCATGAACAAACATCAAGATTGATGCAAATTTCTTCTCTACTTCGTAAGCAACATTTAGTATAATTGGCATTTTTTCTTTTTTAAAATAATGTCGAAAATTCTATTACGTACTGATGAAATCAAATTACGGAAAGTTAATATCTCAACGTTGGTATCATTTTTTCTTTATTAAATCACTATGTACTGGCACGATTTATATAACTAACAATTTCCAAATAACGATTTATAAATTGATTTCGGAGATTTTTATTTTACATAAGGACGTCGAAGAAGCAGAGCATTTCTCGATTAACGCAGTTATTCGGCTTAACACTTCCGGAAGCACGGAAAGACACTTTCGAAGAAACTTTGACTACTATGAAACTTCCACAGCAAACTTCGATCACGCATATCCGATTTATTAATTGGAAAAGTACGTTGTCGTACTCGTCAACTCGGGTCATTAACTCGAAAATCAAAAGGTTCCTTTAGGATTAAATCTATTCAGACGATCCTTCAACCATCAATAATCAGTCTAAAATTGAACAATCAATTGTTCGCTACCAAGGATGATAATCGATGAAAATTTGTTTCGTGGTGTTGCGCACAATATCACGGTTAGTCTACATGTCCAATGTATAAAATTTGATATATAATATGTATACTTACATGTTCTTATCTTTTTTTTATTTCGTATGAAATTTATTAAATTTATTTGGTATGGAACCATTGTATCCGGTAATAACTGCGCTATATATTTAATAACAATATTCGGTTATATATATATATCAGTATCAATCATTGTATGTTTTTGAAAAACATTTAATATTTGCAAAACTGACAATAAGATTGTAATGTAACGAGGACTTCTCAGATTTCACAGAGGGATTCTATCAAATTTACATACATATAACGAAATTTAAAAAAATAAATCTTTTAAATAGGTATAAATACCTCTATATGATTTGTTTAGGAAGGAAACAAATTTTCATTTTACTTTAGTGTGTCGCAATTGAGGTAAACAATTTTTATCTTGCACAAAGATCCGCAATACAGAGAAAAGCAACTGATTTAGTGATAAGCAATACAGAGACAATTTAGTATATACATATATACATGTAGAGATAAGCATTTATTGTAACAATGCGATGTAATAAGACCAAGAACGGTGTATCAGGATAATCTTGAGAAATCCACGCACCAAAAATAAAAATACATTTACCGATCTATCTTTGACAATAAAATGAAAAAAAAGAAAACCAAAAGATCTTTTGGTTTTGGACTCGACCAATTCGAGATGCGAATTCGTTTGCGCAACCAAAAGGGAACGTAAATGCAAGCGTTTCTTCCGAAATACGCTTGATTCCTCCTGGAATGAAGTCGCGAGAAGAATTTTGTCTCTTCGGAAGCACGAATCCGATCACAGTGCGCCATTCGGATCCAGGAAATATATGAGCGCCGCTAATTACGTTCAAGGTCCTGTGATAAGTGGCAATGAAACGGCTTCCTGCCCACGCGAGTCGCGTCGTTTCAACCTTCAGGGATCGGTTTTGCTCCTCGACCGGGACGGCGGCGGGGGCTGGGGGATGATTTCGAGAGGAAAAAGCTTCTTGCTGCTCTGCTTCCGCGCGGAGCTGAAGCGCAACAATGAGGCGGCCATCGGTCGCCGATAATCATTCTTGCGGCGATAGAAAGTTCAAAGTGTACTTGCTACGCGTCTTCGTCGCTTTTGATGGGTCTGATAGAATGATTGAAGCCGATCGGGTGGGAGAGTTTGAACGTTTGCGGCGCAGATCGGTCCGCTTAAATGTATTGCGCGAAATTGTTGAATGAGAATTGCATTGCGACGATTCGAACGCGGATTTCTATATGTTTAGCGCGAGAGTGGGTAAGCATGAAACGAGAAGTTTCGGAATAGTATTATTAGACTGCGGATTTTCTGCATTCATAGCATAGATCGGTAGTACGGCATAGCAAAAGCTTCAGTGGAATTTAAGAATGTTCTTGTGTTATTAATAGACTGCGAATCTTATGTATTTCTAACAAAAATGTAAATGATTTATTTATACAATTTAAACAGTTAAGTGTTTAACAAGCCTTTTGCTAATTTTCCGAAAAGATTCAAAAGCTTCGAAAATTATGAAAAGTGATCGAAAAAAAACCGAAATTAGCCTAAAAATGCACAATTAACATATTTTCTTTACAAACTTATAAAAAATAAAGATATATTACATATTATTTAAAATTCGCGAGTAATTTAATTTGAATTTAATTGTGAGTAAAGTTATTATTATATAAAGACTATATTGTATGTGCCTAATAAATATTATAAAATAATTAGCATTTTAATAGATCGCTGAAAATGTAAATGTGACAAGAGCAATTTCATTCAATTAAGATGAGCGGCGGGTGCAAAGGATAAATAAATTTGATCAAGCTTTCATTTGACAAGGGAGATTCGCTGAACTTAAATTGTATACCCAATTTGCAACCTGTTCGCGATTAAATTCAGAATATCCGCAAGAACAGAACAGTGTGTTTTACACCGAATTTATAACCCGTTTATGATTAAATTCGCAGAAACGGTGACCGTCCAATTAAATAAATTTGCACGAAATTTGAAACCTGTGATCGAAACTTATGATTGAATTCGCAGTATCCGTTCCAAACGAATCGAATTGTTAGTCCCCGATGTGCGACCCACTTGTGATTAAACTCTCGGTGTCCGCAGAAATTACACCGATTCGTTTGTCCCTAATTTGTAACCAACTTGTGGTTGAAATCGCAGCACCCCTAAACGTCGAGCCGAATTACAATATATGCAGGGACAGCTTATGATTATGTTATCTGCGGCTATCAGACCGAATTGTTTACTCCTAATCCGTAGCCTACGCATGATTAAATTTATAATAACCGGAAGTGTCGAATTAATTGCGCGCAATTTAGAAGCGAGTTATGAACCGATGTCACAGAGTATGTATCCATTGCAATCGAATCAAATTGATGGTTCTACTTATAATTAAAGTCAGACCTAGTTAAAATATTATTTCAACTAAGAAATATAAACATTTGTAAATATCATTTCTCTCGACTGTGTTACATATGATTCGTTTGAGATAGTAATCTATTTCTGTACGAAATGAATTACCAATCGAAATGCTCAATTGATTTTACAAATATATTATAAGTATTTCAAATATGTATTTTACAATATGAAATGTGTTGGCATACTGAATTGAAATGAATATTTCGTTTATCGTGCGTGAAATGAAACACTTGAATATATATTATTTCCATGAAAATCTACCGACAAAGCACCTGCGAGCATGCTTGACATTCGTGTTTACATTTGATGTTACAAACAGATGTAACATGTTCTAATTACATTCATTAATTAGGAGAAATATAAGGGAAAGCTTATTTTCCGAAACATTATGTGTTTGTACTTTTGTCTACAGGTTTACTTTCACTCGTAAACATTAATTGTGAGAAGTAGAATTCCAAATAATTAATAGAAATTTGGACGCATGAAATGCTATTTCAAATAATTATTTCCAGAGCAACTTGTGAAAATACCATTTTCAATTAATAATTTTTTTCACCGCGATATAAATATTTTCAATACGTACGCTTATCTCTATGACGTCAAATAAATCCTGAAATATTATTTCATGCAAACAAAGGGTATTTCATTGACTGTTTCCAATACTTTCTCATATATTTTTAACCAAGCCCGATCGAATTCGCGAGTATACGTGATAATTCAACCGGATTGTCCGTCGCAAATTCGTAACCGACTTGCGATTAAACTTCCAGTACTCAATCTAACAATCAAACGGAATTGTTTACCTGTAACCCGCGGCCCGCTCAAACCATTTCTGTGGAATTTGGAACCTAGTCATAACTTCGCTCACAATGTATCCGCTAAAATTCGACCGAAATATGTGACAGTATAATTTGTAACCAATATCCGATTAAATTTCCAGTACCCTTCAACATCGAACCGAATTGTTCGCAACGAATTTCTAGCCTACTTATGATTATCGTATCCATAGCAATCGATCCGAATAGTGGCGTTATTTTGAACGAGAGCGCACGCGCAGAAGTTGTATTTTGGGATATTCCAATTTGAAAATTACATTCGTTTTTAAATGCGTTATATCGGTTAAAATCCTATCAAATGAGTGATGAATTTTTAGCATTTTTGAAAGAGAATAGTTTGCTAATGAGAATAGAGTTACCTTAATTTTTTTAATTGCATTTTTTAGTCTATATTATTGTATTATTATTATTGTATTGTATTGTTTGTATATACATATAGACATATATATAACCGTGTCCCACTCGCGGTCACAATTTATAGGATCCGTAAGCGTCGAACCGAAATGTGTAATCTATTTATGCCCCACTCAAAAAGTTCGATTGGCTTTTAATTTCGCCGGGACAAGGTGCTCGTAAAGTTGGCGCCGGAATTGCCGGTCGAATGTGTAATTAATAATTTTGCATGACGTTCTCCCTTACACGCGAGTGCGATTTATTAGCTTCCGCGGCGGCCGAATGCGGGATCGATCGCAGACGTCGAAACAATAGCGCCGAGAATAGAGATTTACAGCGACGGACAAGAAGACAGACGCAATTTCTCCTTTAAATAACGTTCCCGACGTTTGCTCTTTTTTTTTTCTTCGCCAGTCCGACGGCACGGCGGTATTAAGTCGCGCCGAAAGTTTGCCCGTTTTTCCACGGGACTGCTCGATATTCGAGATTAAGCCCTGGCCGGAGCGCGGCGCTCCTCCGATTCGTTTTCCGCGGCATAAAAAGCATTAATAGCAAAAAGGAAGAGTTACGGAAGAGCCTGATACCGTTCTCTAATCTTTTTTCTTCTCCCGGCTAATATACACGCTTTCGTTCCGCTTAATATTTCCGGCGAGATTACTGGCCCAAGAATTTTCATATTTACAGTAAATATCGTTGGACGAACGCGCGGTATAAATAGGAATCACGAAGAACTTTCTTCGAGGCTCGATATTACCTTTTATCTAATGAACGGGTGATCGGTCTTTAAAAACTGGGATTTGCATAAGTATCCCGCAATCCGGCGATTACTTTCTACATAATGTTACGTTTCACAGCCGAATCTCGATAACTCGAACCTCGATAACTCCAACCTCTTTAACTCAAGAACCTTTATGAGGCGAAGATTCTGTTCATTCCCTATCGCCGCTTCGTAAAAACCTCTATAAATCGGAATATAAAGCTTCCATTGACTCAAATTATTTTCCGCAAGTTCAAACACATTCTTTTGTCTCTGTAACTCGAGTTTAACACATTTAACACGTTCCCTGCCAGACCGTTTTTTGAAGACTTTCCGTTCAAGCCGCGTGGGGCGTATGCGCCCCACGCTTTACATTTGTATTATTTTGTTTCTGGCGTATGCTTTACAATAATTAAAATAGTGCAAAAATCATAATTATCAAGGAAAGGTTGTATAGTTTAACATGCATAACACAGCAAACCAATAAATTTATTTTTCTAGGAATTACTTTAACAAATACCTGGCTGATCATTATTATGCCAAGCGAGTTGCATCCTCACATATAATTTTTTTTATCATGCCTATATTAGTTTAAAATATAACATTTTAGTTAAATTCAAGTTTGTATGCGATTACAAAG